GATTGCACATTTACAAGATGTGCTGCATGCTGTGTGGATACTGGGATTGTGGGGACAGTTTTTGGGAGCAGGGAGACCAATGGGTGGATTTGCTTGTGTTCAGCAAAGGACAGGTGTCACAGCTGCAAAACCAGAGGGGACTGTAGACTCAGGATGCATTTGGGGTGGGGCTGAGAGAAAGCAGGGACCCTAATGAGCCTCAGGTATCTGAGCATCTGAGTGGAGGCCGGTCCATAGTGGGAGGGGGGCATACCCACTGTGTATGTCAGATCTAGAGGTTCCCAAACTCGCAGTTCAGAGCACTTCTAGTTAAGGTTCAGTAATTATTTTAAGGGACTTATAGACCAAAAGAAGTACCTAACAGTTCCATTTTTAAATACATAAGTCCAAACAAGTTAAGTATTGACATCCTAGCAACTTACAGTAGATATTTGGAAAATAATGTAAACTTAAAATATTTTTCATTTCATTTTTAAGTAACTGTAATTATTTATGGGTGGAACGTGTGCCTATCGGCTCTTGAATCTTGGAATCAGATTGGACACTGCCACCCTTGTTGCTTTTTCCACATTGATTCTTACACAGTAATTGCTTTTTCAATAACTGCCAGAAACCTAGCTTTGCAGACATGAAATAGTGGAAAGTGTAGCAAGATATGATGTTGAAACCATGAAGTGTTCAGAGATGTTTAGTATCACCATTTTCCTCAAAAGTAAAAGGCATCCTGCTGTGCCTGCAAGTTCACTGTGGGCTGGGGGTTCTTCAGTGCATTGTTTAGAAACTGCAGCTCTGTGCCCTTCTCTTTTCCCTCTGGGTCTGTGGACGTCCTCTCTCCTGGGCCACATGTTGGTGTGCAAGTCAACCCCCCACCCCCAACAATTCTTTGGGATGGCTCACTGGGTCTTGTGGCACTTACTGTTGCCCTCACAGCCCAACAGCCTGCACATGGCAAATGTCCCTTTGAAGCTATCGTGTTCCCAGCTTCAGTGCTGAGAGGATTTTCTCTTTATCCTTTGATTTTATTTATTTATTTACTTATTTTTTATAAATTTATTTATTTATGGCTGAGTTGGGTCTTTGTTGCTGTGCGCAGGCTTTCTCTAGTTGCAGCTAATGGGGGATACTCTTTGTTGCGGTGTGCGGACTTCTCATTGTGGTGGCTTCTCTTGTTGCGGAGCATGGGCTCTAGGCGTGTGGGCTTCAGTAGTTGTGGCTCGCGGGCCCTAGGGCACAGGCTCAGTAGTTGTGGCGCATGGGCTTAGTTGCTCCGTGGCATGTGGAATCTTCCTGAACCAGGGCTCAAACCCGTGTCGCCTGCATTGGCAGGCGGATTCTTAACCACTGCGCCACCAGGGAAGCCCTATCCTTTGATTTAAAACGCCTCTGAACTCAAGACCTGACCCCGACTTAATTACTTCGGTGTGATGCGTCATTTCCCCTTCCTGTATCTGAACAGGTTTAGTTTAACTAAAGAGGGTGGCAGACTCTCGGGGTTGATGTAAAAATAGCTCACCCTGATCAGAGAAAGCGGTCTGCTGTCTGCACCCATTTCCCTGCTAATGTGACATTGAAAAATGCCAGCAACACTGGGCTTCCTCCCTTCCCTGGCACCCATTCTGTCTCCACTGTGGAGCCTGGCACGGGAGGAGTGTACCCCTGACTCTGCCATTGGTGTTGGGTTTGGCCCTGTCACTTGCTAAGATCAAAAGAATGTGGGCAGAAGTGGCAACATGCAGATTTTGAGCCTAGGCTTCTGGAGGAATCATGTATTTCTGTTCACCTCTCTGGAAGTTTCCACCTTCCACCATGTTAGAAGAACATATATGCTAGCTGCAGCCCCTTCAGCCCAGTGCCCCCCCCCAACCCAGAGGGAGGCCCAGGGAGCAGAGCCCTCCCAGCTAACCTACAGACCTGTGAGCATGAGAAAAAAAATGCATACTGCCATACATATTGAATTCTGGGGTTGCTTGTTACACAGCAACAGCTGACTGATACAAATGGAAAAGAGGTCCATGAGGGAAAGTTAAAAGGGTGATGGAAATATAACAGCTGAGAAGGTTACTAGTCTTAAGGATAAGATGAATTTTTAAGATGTGAAATGATTCTTCTGTAGAATAATGTTATGTCTGTTGATCCTTAAGACAAACCTAAGAGGAAAGCAGTGACAGTTTTATCCCCATTTTATAGATGAAGATATTGAGGTTCAAAGTGGTTGAAGGTGCAGTGGGTGAGCCTGGTCTGGGCCCCAAATCCCTGACTCCTGGGCCAGGCTCTTCCTGGCTGTGCTGCCTGCCTCTCTTGTGGGCCCGACTTAGAGCAGCCAATATGGCGGCAGAGCTTGGCACTTTGTGCAAATGAGGCCACCGTTGGGACCTTTCTTCTGACAGGTTGGGGAGGGAGGGCACCTCCCAGAGAAGGGGCAGCATTTGGTTGAGAGGGGGACAGGGGTGCCAACAGACAGGTGCCTGTGTCCCACATGCTGAAAACTGGGGGGTCTGGGTGTCTTCTGTGTGAGCCATGGCTCTGCTGCCTACTGGTTTGCTCTCATGCTCCCCTCAAAAGGCCTGGCAACTGTGTGTCCAGGAAAGATACCTATGGAAGAAAAGTGTCAAGGCACCTACACTGAATACATTGATGGTCTTGCCTGGTGGTTGGGGTCTGAATTTTGACACACTTGAAGCCTCGGGGATTTTAAACAGGAGAGTCAGCAATCAGACCTTTGCAAGAGGCTGCAGTAGGGCTTCTGGCAGCTTGAGGGCCAGGCCACGTGACCCCAGGTTGTAGATGCCATATCAGGGTACACACGAGCTGACTGGCATTCCTACTGACTGCTGGAGCTGTCCGTCAGCATGTTCTCATTACTTCAGGGGGTTCTGGTCTTGTTGAAGTTGGTTTACTTTCTGAGTTGTTTTTAATCCCTCTGTGTCCTCCTACTTCATGACCAGCTGACCACATCCATGGCACTTTGATTTTGACCTTGGCTTCTGCTGACTGCTCTCCTCAGTACCCTCCTGCTCCCTGACCCCCAGGCCCCCGTAGCCCTACACTCCTCTTTATACTGCAAGACCCTTCCTTTCCAGGGAGGGACCCAGCCTTCCCAGTTGCAGGGCTGTCCTTGGAGACCACAACCTCCAACCCCGAAATGGGGCAGAGCCCCCATGGATGGGGTGATGGGCTGAATAATACCCCCCAAAATATATCCATGTCTTAATCCCTGCAAACTGTTAACTTCACACTGCAAAAAAGGATCTCAAGATGGGGAGACAGTTCTGGATTATCCGGGAGGACCCTAAACTCAATAACCTATATCTTTGAGGGGGGAGAACTGACACAGAAGAGAAGGCAATGTAACGATGGAGGCAGAGACTGAAGTGATGCAGCCATAAGCCAAGGAACACCAGGAGCCTCCAGAAGCTGAAGAGGCAGGAAGGGTCTCCCCCAGCGCCTCCGGAGTGTGTGCAGCCCTGCCACACCTTGTTTCAGCTCAGTGAAATGGATTTTGGACTCTGGGCTCTAAAATTATTAGATAAGTTTCTATAGTTTCAAGCCACCAAGTTTGTGCTGACTTGTTACAGCAGCCACAGGTAATGAACACAAATGGGAAAGCCAAGGATTCCAAATGAAATGACTGGACCCAAGGCCTGGCATGGACCCTCAGCTGTTGCCTGACAGTGTCCTTATGACCCAGCCACTCCTGTCACCTGTGCGTTAAATGCACAGGCTCTCCACAAGGTTTCCTGCTGCCTTGCTGGCAAATGAGGTGGACTCTGCGGCCCCTGCCCCTCCCTGGTGCCCGCAGCCCTGCAACCCCTGATGCTGCATCTCATGTGTGCCCTGTTGAGAGCCCCCAACTCCTGGCCAGGGTGCTGGCAGCCGTCACGACTGAAGGATTAGGAAGCAGGGGTTGGAGTTGGTGAGAGATGGGGTCCTGGGAGAGCAGCCACCATGGGCTCCATTTGCAACGTGGAATGTCTGGCTTTGGCTGCTAGCTCCAAGGTCACCTCAAGTCCTGCAGCCAGGAGTAGCCAGGGCCCTGCCCTCCAGTGCATCTGCTCCCACCCCTGGGAGAGCAACTTGGGCAAAGGACACAGAGCCTTTGGCTGTTTTTTTTTTTTTTTTTTTTTGATTTTTTGCCCCCCCCCCTGGGGGAGCAACTTGGGCAAAGGGCACAGAGCCTTTTGGTGTTTTTTTTTTTTTTTTTTTTGACTTTTTAAAACCAAGTGCAAATATCAGGTGCTCTTTACAGCAGGAAGGACCTGTACCTTTTGAAATAAACACATGCCAGCCACCCACCTGCTGGGAAAGCCACACAGGCAGCGCTATTGTTCTTTGTCCTCCAGGTGATATCCTGGGAGAGGTCACAGCTGCCTAAACCTTTAAAACCCCAGGTGGGACGAACATTCCGTGATTTGGAGCTGCAGCAGCTCACAGTTGTGTTTCTTAACACTTTGTGAATTTTTTTCTTAAAGCAGTGAAAGGAGAAAATTGGTACCGAAGAGTATCAATTCTTGATTCTTGGCAGAATTCCTGTTGTCTTTGTGAAAGTCAAGTTTCAGGTGAGTGTGCCTGGTGCCCCAAGGGCTGTGTGACCCGTGGCCTGTGGAAGGTGGGTACCAGGCCCAGAAGCCCCGTGGAGTCCCTCTTGGTGACCGTGGCCACCCTGGGAAGAGCCCTGGCCAATCCCAGAGGGGAGGGCAGCTGGAGCAGGGAGGGCGGTGAGCTGGTGCCCGACCCACAGTGTCAGGGGCTTCCTAGGCTGGCAACCCTCACAGGGGCTCATCTGCTGGCAGGTGAGGAGTGAGAAGATCCAGCGCCTGTTACTTGGCGCTTGGTGTCTGGCTCTCTGCATGCTGGTGAGAGGGCTCCGAGGCTCACCCTGGCCTGCTCGGCATAGCCCACAAAGACAGGGTTTACTCAACCTTGGGCTCTACCAGCTCTTCCCAGCTGGACTCAGGCCAGAGTGCTGAGTCTGCCACCCTCAGGCCCACATGTGAACATTTCTCCTGATCCAGAATGACGGGTGCCAGGCTGATGGGGGTGTTGCTCACCCTGGCTGGCCTGCTGCAGCAGGCCCTGTCCCTGAGAATAGCAGCCTTCAACATCCAGACTTTTGGGGAGACCAAGATGTCCAATGCTACCCTCTCCAACTACATTGTGCAGGTAAATCCAGGCTGGCCTGTCCCCAGGGGACTCAGGGTGGGGGAAGGGGAGGGCCCTCTAACAGGCCCTGGGAACCCTGGGCCAGTGGTTAGTCCTGAGGGTGATCGGCAGTGGTGGTGATCAGGGGAGGGGATTGAAAGCCTCTGGTCTCAGCCCACCTGTCTGTCAAGGGGACAGGTCCTTGTCACTGCTGTGCCGTCCACCACGGCTGGAGGTGGTGGGATGTTTGGCACGTCCCAGGCCAAGCCGTGACAGGAAGGTGTCTGGGAGGAGCAGGTCGGCCCTGTGACTCACAGCAGGCAGGCTTGGTTGCCTCAGTCTCCACCCAGCCTGCCCTGCTTAGCAGTACTGTGGCCTTGTCCCCAGATCCTGAGTCGCTATGATATCGCCCTCGTCCAGGAGGTCAGAGACAACCACCTGATGGCCGTAGGGAGGCTGCTGGACAAACTCAACCAGTGGGTGACAGTGGGGTCCCGGGAGGCGTGGATGGGAGAGGGTATGCCACTTCAGCCAGGCCCCAGAGATAGGGATGTGGGAAGGAGCCCTGCTATAGATGTATATAGGTGGCAGGAGGGTCCCCACGGACTGCCCCCCCGCCCCGACCGGGACATTTGTTTCCTCAATCCAGGGACGACCCAAACACCTATCACTATGTGGTCAGTGAGCCGCTGGGACGCAACCGCTATAAGGAGCGCTACCTCTTCCTGTTCAGGTAGATTGGGTCACCTCCTCAGAGGGTGCCGACAGGAGGCTGGGGTGTGGTCTAGAGAGCCTGTGAGCCCCTCTCTCCCCTCCGGGTGTGGGGGCGAGAACTGGGGCCACAGAGCAGGGCCCTGAGCTGGCCTCACAGCCTGTGCAGAGGCAGGGGGACATGGCAGGAGCTCCAGGCCAGTGGGTCTGTGCGGTGCTAAGGCCGGGCCCCCTGCTCACCTGGACATGGCAGAAAGTGACTTTACCAAGACAAGGTGGCGCCCTGGCCCAAGGCTAACTGCCCTCTGGCCCGGCCTTCTGCAGACCCGACCAGGTTTCCGTGCTGGACAGCTACCAGTATGATGATGGCTGTGAGCCCTGTGGGAATGACAGCTTCAGCCGAGAGCCAGCGGTGGTCAAGTTCTCCTCCCCCTTCACACGTGAGTGCCCCGCCCAGCCCTTCCCAAGACACCTGGAAAGCTGTCTCGTGCTGCGGCCCACACCCTTTGTGCTTTGGTCTTACATTGGAGTTACTTAGGAAAACGTCCACCCTCGAAGACTGGCTCATGTGTCCTCCACCCCAGCCCAACTCCTGGCTGAGCCCAGCCCACACCGGCTCAGTATGACTCCTGTTTCCACAGAGATCAAGGAGTTTGCCATTGTTCCCCTGCATGCGGCCCCATCGGATGCGGTGGCTGAGATGGACTCTCTCTATGATGTCTACCTGGATGTCTGGCAGAAGTGGGACTTGGAGGTGAGGCAATTACCCCCCGACCCCCAGCCTTGGGCTCTGGGGCCCCCATTCTGCCCCAGGCCAACCAGTGTGTGTCTCCTGGTAGGACATCATGTTGATGGGTGATTTCAATGCTGGCTGCAGCTACGTGACCCCCTCGCAGTGGTCATCCATCCGCCTGCGCAGGAGCCCCCCCTTCCAGTGGCTGATTCCTGACACTGCTGACACCACCGTTACACCCACGCACTGTGCCTACGACAGGTGAGCGGGGCCCACACTCAGCCCCCAGGCAGGGATGAGGAAGCCTCCGTGACCAGCTTCAGAAATGGTTCCCAAGCCCTGTGACATGCACCCTCCTGAGCTTCACTCAGTCCACTTAGGAAATGGAATGAAAGGAGCAGCATTTCTTAGTTTGGGGGTGAAGCACATTTAGGGATAACACTACACTGGGGGGGTATGTAGGTTGGTCAGTGGTGTGCAGTTTGGGGCCCAGGTTGCTCAGCTCAGAGTGTTGGGGTGACAGCCAGGACCTGACTGGCCCCATGGGAGCATTTGAGAGCAGTTGGGGAACAGTGGAACTGTGTGACATTTACCATACCAAGAGGAGCTGGGGGGACATGCTGGGATCCGAGGTGTAAGTGCACAGAGCTAGACAGCGGGCTGAAGGGGACCTTCTCTTGTGTCTGATGCTACAGGATTGTGGTTGCAGGACCTCTGCTCCAAGGTGCTGTGGTTCCCAACTCAGCTGCTCCCTTTGACTTCCAAGCTGCATACGGATTGAGTGACCAGATCGTAAGTGTCCTGGTCACGTAGCTCTAATAGGGGCGTGGACCCACCGCTTTTTTCATTGGCTTGAAAGAGCCACTTGTTTGTGGCCCTGGGTGCCTCTTGGTCTCCTTTTCCCAGGCCCAAATCCCGACTGGCCTCAGGAGCATGAGTGTCCCTGTGCTCATGGCTGTCTCCCCACAGGCCCTAGCCATCAGTGACCATTACCCGGTGGAGGTGATGCTGAAGAGAGCCTGACGTGAGTGGGGCCTGGCCAGCGACCTCCCCTCTGCAGCCAAGAACTGAGATGACACAGCCAAAGGCTGGGGACAGAGTTTAGGAAACCAGTGCCTGGTCCTGAGTGCCCCTCCCCACCACCGTGGCAGCTGGAATTAGAGGAAGTAGCTGGAATTAGAGGAAGGTAGGCTTTTCCTCACTGTACCCGCTTCCATTGTAAGCTTGGAGATTGTGTCACCAGAGCACCCCACCTGTTCAGTCTGGACAAAAAGTCTAAAATACATTTTAGGTGAATAAAGCTCAAAAGCAGGTGTTCTCATCGGCAGCATCCAGTCCTTCCTGTGTCATCGTCCCCATCCCCCCCCCAACCCTGGGCAGGAGGACCTGGGGCTTTCACAGCTGTCAGTGTCGGTCCAGGGCCTTGATGAGCAGGTGGTTCAGGCGGCTGACCATGGGTCGGGGGTCATCGACGAGCCCCGCTGTGATCATGGCATTCTCGTAGATCTGAAAGGTAAGGCAGCACCTCGTTGTTAGTGGGAGGGTTAGCGAGGCCTGATCCCAACCCAGGGACCTCAAAGACAGAAGATAAAACAGGGTTCTCAAAGGAAGAGGCAGCCTCCTGAAGCTGACAGCCCCATGCCTCAGTTTACTCTTCGCATTCCTCCAGCAGACTCACCTGATCCACCAGCAGCTGGGCCAGGTCAGGCTCGCTATCTCTCAGCTGACTGAGCTTCTTGATGAGTGTGTGCCTGAACACAGAAACCACCAGAGGTTATTAGCTTAGGGCTGGGGGGGTGCACACACAGCCTCTAAAAATGTTGGGGTTATCAGGACATGCAAAAAAGGGTAATAGAAAGGGTCCAATATAAAAATTAAGGCCCATAATGATCAATTATAGATTATGTACCCAGAAAACCCAGCAAAAATTTTGATACTAAATTGATATAAAGGAAACACTACTAAGGTAAAGAAAGATGAGTTTCATATATGAAAAGACATATGTTAGTTCTTGGATAAGTGGACCATAAATAGAAGTGAAACTTTCCTTAAATTAATCCATGTTTAGGTTTAATAGGATTCCTTTAATCTAGTGTAAAATTTATAAAGTAAACATGGAAGAGCAGTTAGAGGAGGAAGTCCCAGTTAAAACATAAAGCTCCAGTAATTAAACAGTTCTGGAAAATGAAAAGGTAACAGCTCAGTGCAACAAAGTGGACAATGTATAAATGGCCCAATTCATATAGGAATTTTGTTAGTACCTCATAAAGACAGGATAACTGGGCCGCACCCAGGAAACAAGTTGGATTCCTACGTGATTAATTTCCAGAGGGATCAAAGATTAAATGTAAAAATTAAAAGCAAAGAGGTATAATACTAGAAGAAAACAGGGAAGAAGTATTTTATAATCTCAGAAGGGGAAAGCCTTTTTAAACAAAATACAAACCCAGAAGTCAGAAGAAAAGAATAACTGACTACAAAAAAACTGAAATATTTTCTGCACAGGAAAAAATACAATGGGAAACATACATCAAAATTATAAGGTATAATTTTAAGAGAATGGCAAAAATTGGTAAGTTTGATAAAACTGAAGGCACTGGGGAAAGGTTCAGAGGACAGCAGGAGTGTTTTGGTCCCTGTCTGAGACGAGATGATTCCCTCCCCTCACAGCGCTGTTCAGAGAGCAAACACTACAAAGCAAGGTGAGCACACTGCACAGCAAGTGTACCAGAGGCAGCCCCACACAGTGTCTCCGAAGATACGTGAGGAAACAGGATGGGGGGGCGGGGGGGTTCACCGTGAACTCCCTTAGTTCTTTAGAATTCTCAACCGAAAGAACATATTAACAAATTTTAAAGCAAATCTGTAAAATAAGTCTTTTGGCAACAGAAACGAGCACTCTGCACAGCTATCTTACAAAACTGCTTTTGTGTCAGAACTAGTTAAGGCAACGGGGTGTCCAGTCAGCGTCCATCTCTATTGGGGACTCACAGCTGGGAACTGTGCGCCCATTACACAGGCCTGCACCCATTATGCCAACCTGCCAACCAGGACAGCTCCTTTGAGAGGCATCCAATGCTCTTTGTGGCCAGCCATGAGCCAATTCAGATCTTTTCACCTAGTAATTGTGTTGCTAGTAATTTGGCTCAGAAACTGGAAAAGGCACTTCCCCCTACTCCCCAGTAGTTTTAAATGGTTCTAAAGCAACACGGAAAAATATTTATAGGTGATGAATAAAAAAATTAGACATGTACTATATAAAAAAATCAAAACCCACAATAAGACGGAAGTCCAAAAGAAATTATACCAAATAGGGTACAGTGACTGTGGTGGGGGTGAGACTATGGACTTTTCTAGCGTTTTTGGTAACTTGTTTATGTAACTTCATGTAAAAAACTACTGCTGTATACAAAGTCAATTTCCAAAAAAGAAACTGTCTCCATATACAACAGAAAATGAAATTTCAAAATATCCAATAAAGACACATCAAATAACTATAAAAAATGTACAAGAACTCTAAAGAAAACATAAGTTTCCAAGAGATACTCATCTGAGAAGGCAGCACGGTTAACGGTGTGGGCAACAGGGTGTTCACATGGAATAAGATGAAACTAGAACCGCCCCCATAGACCCCAATCCCAGACAGGCCAGTTAAGAGATGGGCTCAACCAACATGAAAGGCCAGAACTATACAGCTTTTAGAAGGACACGCAGGAGAAGAAACTCATGTCTGGAATAGATGCTTTTTGGGGTCTTAAGAAATCTCTAACAAATGTATATACATTTGATTACATTAAAATTAAGAAATTCTCTTTAAAAGACAGGTGAAAAGAGAGTGAGAAAAAATATTTGCAACTGCAACTGTTAAAAGTATATATAAAGAACTACCAATCAATTTGTTTTTTTTTTTAAGCCCAACAGAAAAAAGAACAGTAGCCTTCTAACTTGCAGGGACCTGGGTTTCCATGCTCTGCCCTCTGGAAGCAGTGGGCCTTACTCAGCCCAGCTGAGGATAAGGTGCTTTCATGCCTGGGCACACATCCCTGAGAAACACATGTGCAGCACCAGACGGGGGACAAGAATATTCCGAGCAATGTGTTCCCAACAGCCTCCAAATGGAAACTACCCAAATGTCTATCAGAATAATTATGCTGAGTAGATTCATACCCTGTGATTCAGCTGTGAACAAGAACAAACTATAGTCACCCCACAGATGAATGCATCTGATCACACGCCGAGAGAAGAAAGGAAGGCTTCAAAGGGAACCTGTGCACAGGGGTCCATTCACGTGAAGTTCAGAAACAGGCAGAACTGAGCTTGTGTGTAATGACGCACAAGTAGCCGAAAAACAATAAAGCACAGTGAGGAAGTGACTGACACAGAAGTCAGGACTGTGGTTCTCCCTGGAGAGTGGGACAGAATTCAAGTGGGAGGAAAATAGGAGCGTCTGGGTGTCGGCAAGGTTCAGTTTTTTTAAACGTCACATAGGTATAGTTTAATACAGTTCAATTACACGAGTGTTTATAAACATTTATCAAACTGTCCAAAAGCTTTATGCACTTTCTATGTGTTATAAATAAAAGAACACACACTCACATACAATTTTAAAACATTACCTTGGCAGGTCAGAAATGAGCATGCCCATCCCCTGGGCATCAAGGGCCCTGGGCTCAAGAGGCCTGGAGCCGGCAGCCTCACCTGGGGTTGATCTCCAGCGTGGGCTGCAGCAGCTGAGCACGCTCCTCCTGGGTCTTGGCCAGCTGCTGCACGCGCAGGAAGTGCCGGGCGGCCCCCATCTCCAGCACCGTGATCATAGCTGGGTGGGTGTCCAGCCGAAGAGTCACCTGCAAGCAAGGCCGGGGTGACAGGGGCCCTGGCAGGGTCTTGACCAGGTGTAAAGCTTCCCCAAATGACAAGACAGGAGAACGCAGGTCTCCAGGGACGTACCCTCAACCAGCAGTGCTCCTCCCTCCCTCTCTCCCTCCCAATCACCTGCTAACAAATTGTACCCGGCTTGGGAACTCCCTCCTCTTCTACACCCCAAAGCTACCAATTTCTAACCTATCAGTTACCATCCAAGGTCCATCTTGCCTGGTGTTATCTGCACTTCTCTGCTTCACAGGGTCCACTTCCAGGTCCTACAGCAACTGTCTGAAGACCCGCCAGGACTGGCCACCCCATTTCCCCTGGCCCAGCCTCTTCCTCAATCTTGTGTCCATCTTTACTGCAGACGGTGCTCTCACCCACCCCCTCCCTGTGGCTCCCTCTGGCCTCTATTTCATCAAATACACCTTTTCTCACCGAGCCCCACAGGCTTCAGGCCTCCTCACTTACGCCAGAGACTCTCCTGGGCCTGCTGGGCCCATGGCTGCCCCCTTCCCGGCAGCACAGTAAGGATCCAGCTCCACGACTTCCTGACCTGCGGAAGCGCTCTGCCTGTTTCCTTCATAGGATATGGACGAGAATTCTACCTACCTCCTAGGCCACCTTAAATGAGTCACCGCTGTAAAGCATGGACACGACATGTGTGTTACATAAAGAAACCCCAGCCACACGCCTTGCTCCCTGCCAGGAAGCCCTCGCCTCCCTCAGAGACCCACTGCTACCTCCCATGGAGCCCCCAGGTCTACCCTCCTCTGCTCTCGGCCTTCCCTACCCTGCACACCTGCCTGTCCCTTTGGGGCCACTCCTGAACATGTCCCTCAGCCAGTGACACCTGTTCCCTGGTGACTGTCTTTTCTCTTGCAGCTCAGAGCTGGATCAGTGGGTTCCTAGCTCATTAAAGCCTACCCAGAACCCCCACTGAGAACCCAAGCTGGACCGTACGCCCTTGTGTCCTCAGCCACTGCAGCTCCTCTAGGCCTGGACAAGGATGGCCCTGGGGAGGCCAACTGGGGACACCTCTTCTCTGCTTCTGCCTGCCCACCAGGCCCTCAGCAGCTCACCTTCCAGTTTCTTGGTTCCAACTGCTCTACAAAGTGGAGGCGAATCCAAGCTTGCCCACCCGACCTCAGCAACTCCCC